GGTTGCAGCCGTCATTGTTGTTTGGCGGGTCCAGGCTGGGGATTCGAACCCGCCACCTTAGGTGTACGTGGCTGGCGCCTTACCCGGTTGAGCTATAGGCGCCGAGCCAGAGGTATTCACTCTTGTGTTTGTCCCTCTTGCTACCCAGAGCAAGTGGACAGTCCTCCCCGGGTAGTGGGCAGAGGAAGGGCTGCTAGGACAACACGCTGGGCATGGGGAGGGGCTTCATTGCTGCTATTGACCTTGTGTGGGGCTAAACATGCTCCTTTGGACCAAATGATGACGCAGAGGGAAGGGGACAGGGGAACTGAAGGAGCAGGGCCCTGGTGGTGCAGGGGCCCCTGCTAAGGGTGCTGAGGCCCCTGCTGCAGTAGGAGGTCAAGGCCACCCGGGTTAAGAGTCTAACATACATCAGCAGGTCAGAGTCTAACATACATCAGCTCAAGCAGCAAGTCTGCCACTCTGTCATCAGGGACCAAGGCCACCCAAAGTGAGTATTCTAAAGTACATCACGATTTTCTCAGCTTCTGGTAGAACCCTAGGCTGAACTTATGAATGAGGAATGTGAACTAGAGACAAAGACACTTTATAATAATGAGAAAGAACATTTTAATAGCTTTCTAAAATAATTATCAACTTCATGAGATGCTTACTCAAGAAAAGCAAATCCAAACAATACATAATTTCAAAGTAGATCTAGACATTACATTGAAGGATAAATAATTTAAATGTACAGTTTGTATCATTAAAGACTCCTACATTGAGCTGAAAGTTTTTAACTTTTAGGAGAGAAGAGATGCCCAGCATAGGTGCTCAAGCCCCTCATTCCTGCCAGTGACAGTACCTTCATATAATTCTTGATGAACTCTGCTGCCCGGACACCAGTCTCCATGTTAAAGCTGATGTCGACTTTAACTTCAGTCTCCTGATCTGTGAGTTTTATTATTGGTACCTGTAAAGATTTAATTTTAAAATGCTGTCCTTCAGTATGCAAAGCTCTTCACAGTCCTGCATTAAAACACTTTCAAAGTTGTACAGAGGTGTTGGGTGTTTTTCCTTATCGACATGAGGGGATTAGAGATCATGATGCCAAATTTTAAAAATGAGCAGAAAGGGAAATTTGTCAAGTGTTCATGTCAGTAGGACTCGGGACTCAGGATGACCCCCTTCCCTGGTTCCCGTCCCTCACAGAGCCTGCACTGGCTCAGCCCCCAGGCCCATGATGAGCATCAGAAAGAGGAGAGGAGTGAGCCCAGGTGAGCAGCTGCCCCTGAGAAAGCCACCAGAGGAGGAGCCAGCCCAGGCCCCACCACACCTGCGCCTGGCATGCTCAGTAACATTTTTAAAAACATTCAATGTAGCTTCATAGCCATTTCAAAGTTGCATTTTTATACTGATATTGTTTCTCTAAACAATTCTACTTTAGACTTCCATCATTTAAGACAATTTTACTTAAAGAAAAAAATTTCCCCTAAAAATCAGAAAATATATAAAAGGTATTTTGGAAATACTCTCATCAACAATTATCTCCAAAAGGCACTCAAAACTAGCCTCATAAAACTGCCCAACAAACATTCGGACCACACCTCACCCCCTCCCCACCTGACAAAACTGTGTTCTTCCTGAAGAAAAAGGAATGTCCTTTCAGCCTGGAAGAAATAAAAAAGGAGTTTCGGTCACCAGAATAATCAGGGCCTAATGGGAGCCTTCAGGGCTAACAGAACTGGTACAGCACAGCCCTGGCCTGTGCTGGGCTTCAAACTCACAGCCCTGGGCCAACTGCCGAGGGCACAGCTGTGAGTTCGGGCTAGCGGGACAGGGACACATGTGTTACCTCAACCACCAGGTAGGCAGGGTAATCTGGGCTGGCGCAGTCTAAGAAAGCAGAAAACGAAACACCTTCCCAAAGAAGTCATCGAAAACTACTTCAGAAGCAGCCCCATGCTCAAAGGCCCAGGCCTTCTGATACCCAGACTGAAGCAGTGCCTCAGGTTTATTCCCCCAAGTCCCTTCCGGTGCCCCCCTGCCTTCTACCTGCACACACACTCACGCACTCACAACGTGAGCCCCACATTCTAGAAATTATCAGTGACACCACAATATTTACTTTTGGGTGCCATTCCAAACAGACGAGCTTTCCCCTTAGCACAGCCTCACCCTGGGCTCCTGAGTCTGAAATGACCATGTGCTGCCAGGAGCACAGAGTTCTGGGGGCACAAACGCCTGGCTCTCTTTCCAGTAGACACGGGCCCAGGTACCAGCAGTAAGGGTCATAGCAGCTCAGACGCACCATAACAATCACTGAGCCTAAGCAGTCACTGCAATAACTACTCAGTCCTGCCTGTCCTCCAGAATGTTCTGAAGTTCAGGACAATCAGGCAGGACTCTCTTGTTAAAAGCTCCTCTACATCTCAACCAGACACCTCATCACTGCTTCCAGGGCCTGGACTCCACAGGCTGGGCACACACAGAGGGGGCAGAGCCAGAACTGGCAGAGCTGTGGAGCCTCAGACTGCCTTCCCCTGGGTGAGGGCGAGGGCACCACAGCAGCATGCAGAAGCACAGAAAGACAGGCGGGGGCTCGGCGCTCACCTCCAGAGTGGAGGCCCCACCTCACACCGGCTGCTTACACATCTCTCTGGGCCTTAGTTTCCTCACCTGTGAACAGTGTCTACCAATGATAGTAACTAGGAGGACTAGTGAGCAAGGTCGGGGAGCTTTTTAGAAGGTGGCCAGATGCTCATTCCCCAATGCCAGGAAAGCAAAAGGCCCCATCTGGGAGAGAGGCCTTAGGGGAGGAAGTGATGTTGGCCCACCCGCTCTCCAACAGCAAGAAAGGTGCATCACCTCGTTAAAATTCAACAAGATGTCCACCTGACACCTGCATTTTCCAGCACATGTGTTCTATCACTCTCAAAAACTATCCCCCACCTGAATCCAACACTGCCAAAGAGTAAACACTCAAGAAACACAGACACCTCCTCTTGAGCAAACAAAGCTCTCATCTTCTGACAATCCACTCAAACAGGACAAGGACGTTACGCCTCACCGAAGCTGAAACATCAATTTAAAAATGCAAGGTCAGCATAGAGTCCAGGTGAGCTAATAAGTGCCACACAGCAGGTAAATAACTCAGAGTTCCTGAACTGTTTCTAATCTTGGGCTGATACAAACCTCAACAAGCACATACCAGAAGCAGTCCCATCTCCAGACTGCTCACCAAGGTAAGAGGGTTTTCATACGTGGACATTTTTTGAACAACAAATGTATCTGGTATGGTTTTCTCTCTTGGATACAACTTAGGCAATGGTAATCATGAATACCATGGTTTAACCACTGGATTATGTACCAGGAACGGGCAGCATCTGGAGGGCACTATGTGACAGCATCTCCCATCACATAACCTCCTTTCCTTATTCACCCCAACACAAGTAGAGACAACCATATATTTTAGTACCAAGAACAGTTTGTAGGTTCACAAATTCCAACAGTTTGACAAGTTCACAAATTTAGATTGCCACTAAACATGTTCCTAGCTGGTAATCATGATTATAGAAAATGTAAAAGGCATGGTTATACCAGAAGTACAAACGTCATCAAAAGTGTAGCCAAGAACCACCAGTAAACAGGAACTGGTCATGCAGACCCTGACACGTCGCCCACCGGCTGACAGGCCTTCTCGGAGGCCAGTCCGAAGCCCAGCCACTTACCGTAGCTTTGTCTAAGACTTTGATGGAACACGGCTCAGCCACATTGTGCTTCCGCAGGGCCTGCTCCAACAGTTGTAAAGGAGGACGCTCCCACTTCCCAAAGACCACCAGGTCTATGTCACTGAAGAAGAAAGAGTGTTCGTCAGTGCTCCCCATGCGATGAGGCACCACGGGGATAAACGGGTGCCTTGCATGGGTCCTGCATTTCCCTCAAAGGCGAAGACACATCCCACGCACAGTCCCACCCTTTGGGAGAGGCAGCAGCTCAGGAGGGACAGCACCTCCGCCCAGTCAAACTGGTATGTAAGGAGACCAACCGTTTTCCTCATCAACACTTTAACAAAATGAGGTTCAAGGAAACATTAGGTGAGGGCCTTAAAATCACAGGCTCCAAGAACTTACAGACAATACTAAGGACTTAATGTATCTGTGACGTAAGCTGGGAAGTGAGAGGATAAAACAGGTGTCCTCAAACTGCGGCCACCTAGGACATTTATCCGGCCCTCCGAGTGTTTTTGCCGCTGCTGCCTGTCCTACTTAGCAGCCAACTCATCCCAGGGCCCGCAGTCTGGCCTTCCAATGGTCTGAGGGACAGAGAACTTGCCCCCTGTTTAAAAAGATTGAGGACCCCTGGGATAAAGGATTCTCTCAACAGCACAAGCCGAATGAGGAGGGATAAAATGCCTGCCCCTCCAAACCAGCCTGCCACAGCCTCCTGTACCTCCCACGCTGTCTATGCTGGATCGCTGTTGCTAACCCAGAGCTTCCTGGATACCCTGAATCTGTCCACTTCCCACTGTCCCTGACAACAACAAACCCCCAAATCCTGAGATTATATCGTCTTCAGTCTCCAAACACTAACCACTACTGAGTAAATGAAAGATAAACTTTTAATGAAACAATGTATATAAACTTTATTTGGATATCAAAAGAGTACTTAATGAGAAAACAACTTCAAAATACCAACTTGTGGCTAGGCACCCACAGCATAGTGGTTACAGTGCCAGTCACATACACCTAGGCTGGAGGGTTTGAACCCAGCCGGGATCAGCTAGAACAACAATAACAACTGCAACAATAAATAGCCCAGCATTGTGGTGGGTGCTGGTAGTCCCAGCTACTAGGGAGACTGAGGAAAGAGAATCGCTTAAGCCCAAGAGCTGGAGGTTGCTGTGAGCTGTGACACCACAGCACTCTATCAAGGGTGACATAGTAAGACTCTGTTTCCAAAAAAAAAAAAAAATACAAACTTGTTTGCCATTTTTCTATCAGATAAAAATCCTTACAAAATACTGTTTAAATAGAATTTTGCTTAAATCTTCATTAAAGCATAAGATCAGTTTTTCAAAATCATGCCCAAAGTAACCACTGCACTCACCGGCCATAGCCCCCCACTGTCTTGTTCCAGCACCCAGCATTCTTGCACCCCAACAAATTAAGCACCAAAGGAAAGATGCAAAGCAGTCCGTTCACTAATACGTTACAAATCTGAGTATTATTTTCTGCCAGGTTTCCTGCTGTGCCCCCCCCCCCCGCCCCCGTCTTTCCCTCTAGTTGCCATATCTAGCCTGAGATGAGTTACAAAGACTCTACTTTTTTTTAGCCCTTAATATGCACAGAGACACCATCCCCACCCTAAACACACATCACTACTAATCTGGTACTCACCTGGTTGGAAGATAGAGACCTGTGCTAAAGCTGCCAAATATCTGTACCTGAAAGAAATGACGATTGCTGTGAATTGTGTACTACAAGCAGTCCTACTTTCTTCATTTCTTACTCAGCACAAGGCCTCACTATAACCCTTGGGTAAAAGGTCAAACTACTTTGGAAGTTAGAGGAAGGGAGATGCAAAAAAAAAAAAAATCCTACAACTAAATAGAAAATTCCCTTTAAGTTAAAAATCTGCCCCAGAAGGAATTTCTAAAATCCCAAAACTAAGAGATAAGACAACCACTGCTTCACCCCATGCCCACACAAAGCTAGCTTGGGGCTTGTCAGAGCCAGTGTCAAACCCTCCAACACTCTCTCAAGCCCACACCCAAGGCCCTGGACAGGGTTCTGTCCTAGGCACTGACCTTTAAAAACACAAATGCGTATCATTGTAAAAGAGCTGGGAAACCAAGGTGGTGCCCTTGCACTGAGAACACGGGCGTCCCTTACACCTTCTGCACCCTCAGCCAGCAGGTGGCCCAGGTTGGCAGTGCGGAAGGTGTGCAGAGCAGCACAGGGCCAGGCTGCTGAGCAGCTCAAAGATGGCATGCCCATGCTGCCTGCCCCATGCAGCCTGCCCCATGCAGGCCAAAGTGCCCAGGCTCCTCCTCTCAGGAATACCTGCCTCTCATCCCCTGCCCTCATTTCTCCCCACCACCACATTTGGGAGTGCAATGTCTAACCCTAAAGTAATTACTCCATTCCAAAACCCCCACAAACCCCTCAAGCCACGAGTCCTCACACCCAAGTGGGCACCAGTGTGCTTAACACAGTCGCTGGCCTGGCCCAGGGTGGCTGATGCAGCAGAAACAGGTGGACAGGGAACGTGCATTCCAACAGGCTCCCAGAAGCTGCCCTCTCCAAACCACACCCAGAGAATCACTGTCACGGGCCCGTGAGAAACAGGGGTCTGTGTGGACACAGGCAACACAGCAGTCCCAGGGTCGCAAACCCACTTAGATGTGGCAGGTGGCTCAGAAGCATGAAGTATGTACTCACATCAGCCGTCGGCCAAAGATCTTTAACCACAGTCTCAATCCGTTTCACCACCTCTCTTCTCATAGCTGCTTCTTCAGGACAAGGGGACATGAAGTTGTAAAAATCAATTATTTCCTCATGAAGTCTAGTGGATAAGAAAGAAAACACACCAGAGTTACAATCAAACTTAACCAGATTCTCTAGCCTGTTATGATTAGATTAGAACGACATTAAAACATCCATCTGCCACTTAAATCCAGTTTCTTTTCTCCTCTAAAGTCTATAAGAAAATTAAAATTGTGGTGGATAAAATCACACCCTATGGCTTAGCACCACAGATTAACATGAATAAGTTTTGTCAACACCAGATCATAAATTTACAATTGGCCTTTAAAGGATCACCCGAAAGACTCATTTCAGGGACTCAATGTTAAGATAGTGAGGGATGCGATGCAGGGAAGATTCCAACAGACAGCACACTTCCCAGAGGCTGCTGCAGAGGAGCACACTCTGGCTAGGATCCACCCTGTACCTGCACGCCTCATGCTCAGGGGCACCAACCCGATGAGACAGGCTGAGGGGCAAGAAAAGGACACACGTCCTCAGAGCCCACAGCCCAGGGCACAGCAGTCCAGGTCTGCTCAGACAACCTGCTGACCACCCACTAAATCTGGTACTTAGTGCATCCTACTCTCACTGGATTCAACACCTAAGTACTCTCCTTAAGAAGCCAACCAGGACATTTATATTCCACACCTAGTAAATGTCACATGTACTCTCGTAAGATGCACGGTAGGTATGGTCCCACCAACTACTCTCCCTCCAACAATAACTAAGAAAATGCCGTGAAGGCTATGTTGACCAATTCAATGAAAACATTTCAAATTGTGTGTAAAACCAGCACACTGTACCCAATGATTGCATTAATATACACAGCTATGATGTAATAAAAAATTAAATAAATAAAATGCAATATATCTAAACATTACAAAAAAAAAGAAGCCAGCAAGGAGACCGACCACCAAACAAAATGTGGAGGAACCAGCTTGGTCCTGACAAAGCTCTGAGCAGCATTTTCAGGGGTAAGGGGCAGAATCCAGGGGTCCCTCAGATCCCCCCACGGGGCCACCCTTCAACTATCCCAGGGCTCTGAGAAGATCACCCCTGTGCCGCCATCACTTTCATTTTAGAAGATTAATTAGAGATGGAGAGAAATTTAACCAATCCTAAGAATTTTAACAAATCAAATTCACCTGCTTCCATTCTAACTTTTTTATTAATAAAGCAAATAGTAAAAGACAAAAATAAAATGCGGTCAGTGCAACAGCTAGCAAACAGTGCACAGAGAAAAGGCACTGCCCTTAACAGGAGCGATGGGAGCCACAAGGCGAGTGGCACCATGTCAGTTTATCATGTTTTATTTTTTAAAAAGTAAATTTCATCCCAAGAATGGCCCCAATTCAGACAGCCAGAAGTCCAGTTTTTAACAGACGTAAAAAAGTAGTAAGTCACGTAACATTTAGCTAAAATAATTTTCCAACATATCTTATCAAATTGCAAAATTTCTGGAGTAAAGCTTCTGATTTTTTTCCCAAGCTACTGAGCACCAACCAGGCATTTAAGTATCTTTTTCCATCAGACTTTCCATTTAAAGTCTGAGGTGTTACTTAAAATGCCCCACTATTTAGCCAGACACAAGACTAGATATGTCAAGTAGGCAAATTAATGTCCACATCAGGGAAGAGCCTTTCTGTCAGTAAGAATGCCGGGGGAGGGGGGGTGCTCTTCACCTCCATCTGTCACTGTGGCCACAGAGAGCTCATCTGGGGGCAGCGTGGGCTCTCTGGGAGAAAGATACAGGAGATGTTAGTCCTCCCAAACCACCAACAGCCAGAAGCCTGCCTGTGCCTCACAGGGTATGTATGTTCAGAGATCCTAATAAAGATACAGGCTCAGCATCAAGTAGCTGGCCCGAAGTCATGCAAGAACACCATAACTAAAATTCCAGCCATACCCTCCATAGTCAATACACTTACCACTCGACAACAGGGCCTTCCCTGTGTTAAAGTATCACTCCAGGTCTCCACTGCAGAGTGGAGTGCACTGTCAAGTTTAAGTTGTGTGTATCTGAAACAGCAGCGGCATACAGCAGACTCTCCTCCTCACTTCCCAGGACACTTCAGCCCATTCACGACCTGTAGGGCACCTCACTAACAGGACACTTGGACGTGCGCTGCAGTCTACATTAGACACCGCTTTGACACAGTATCTGGTTTATCAGATGTCTGGTCACTTACTCAGATCAGAAGGGATGGCCTAGCCTTGTTCCCCGAAGTGGGGAGAGAGGGACAGCCAGGTATCCTATCAGTAAGATACGCTAATAACTGGGCCCACCTGAAGCCTGTGATAAACTAGACCTGTAATTCAGCAAGTGCTATGACAGACAGTAAGGGGAGAATGTTTTTGTTTCATCTTCTCAGGACAGAATGGGCACTGCTGGTGGACGGGCCTGGTGGTATCTCTTGGATAAGTGCGTGCTGGACAAGAAGGCTCTGGCCAAACCCACCCCCTCACCAGTCTTCCCTAGCAGAGATTGGCAAGGCCCAACAACAGGAGTGCAATGATGGGTGACAGCCACCGTTTGAGCAGATGGGCATGGCAAAGTCTAACAGCCATCATCATGGTACTTGTGAGGAGACCTGAAAAGGCCCCAGCTGCTCCCTGTGCTAGTTCTCTGTGGACCTCAAGAGGGCAGGAGGGGGCCAAGCAGCGTGGCAGGACTCCTGCCTGAGCAGAGAAGTGTGGAAGAAAAGCCTCACCGGGCATGGCACAGCCCCACTGCCCAGTCTCCAGCACTCCCAGCAGCCTCCCCAGGTCCCCAGCTTCCTCGCGGCCACGTGCTGACCAGCTGAGTCCAGCACTGGCAGGAAGCCGCTGGGAAGAAGGCCTCACCAGCTTGCCCTTTGACCCCTGGCACCCAGGGCTGCGCTGGCTCACGGAAAGCGGTCGGTCACTGGGTGTGGAGCCGATCATCGGGTTTCACCAAAGCGTTCTGCTCTGACCTTGTGGTTCCTGCTCTACATTCCCTATAACATGACATCAAAAATTATCACACTGAAAATAGTGACCTCTGCACTGGATAACTTGTTAGTACAAACCACATAAATGGTCAACTATCCTTTTGAAAATATAAACAGTTGCTAAATAAAACTTTTGTATTATTTTATTCAATACTAACATTAGCAGTTCTCACCCCTGCAAGCTACCGCAGAGATAGCTGTGACAGAGTGCTTCCCCAGCCAATGCTGCCGACCACAAGACTGCGCCAGCAGTGGCCACAGCCCACCTCCTTTTCTAGTTTATGACTTCAAGTACTGAATAAACCTACAAGTTCAATTCTCCATAAGTTTTTCATAGAATTGTGTCAATGAAGTTTTAATAATTTTTACTAAACAATAAAAAAGAGGCAATAATTTATTCTTCTCAAGTATCAACACCTCCAGGGAATTTTGCAACTGACAAGATCCCTGCATAAAAATAACACTGAAGTCTGCTGTCTAGTCAATTCACTCATATCTTTTATAGTTCAATTTCCATTCAGCTCCCAAATACTATCTCCAGATGGAGGAAATTTCTGTGCAGTGATCGTAGGAAAACATTCCTGTGTGAGGGATCACAGAGGCAATGTCTCCAAACCAGGAGGGTACAGAAATCTTCCAAGGCAGCCCTGGGATTCACTGCTGCCCCAACATGCCTTCAGCTTCTTCCTGGGACAGGGACAACAGTGCAGGCCAAGAGGCAGCCTGACCAGTGCCTCCTGCAGTGACACAGGACACTCCTGGGAGCACTCTCACATGAAGAGAGGCCTGCAGAGCCCTATCAGCCTTGTCCCCTTTACTCTTCAGTGAGTGCTGGGGCATTGAGCTGGTGCTGGGGCTCTAGAAACCACATATGGTACCTGGATGGCCTCTAGAAGGCAGCCAGGTGCAGAGAAAGGAAGAGAGGACAACAAGGTACGTTACACCCCACCCGCTCACTGTGTTCAGACCACCACCACTTGTGTTATTTTTTGTCAAACTTGATCTCCACACATTAGCCTGCCACCTCCAGCTGCGGCTAGTTCAGGTAAACCTCCCTTGCAGCAGACAGCCCAGCGTACAGACCGCTGGGGGGCATAAGGACACGTGGAGCACCGTGCCCAGTACTCAGAGCAGAGCTTCAGCTCCTCTGTGGAGAGACTTCCAGCCTCGTCTTAGGTTCTGTCAGCAACCTGGGTTTGCTGTGGTACAGACAGGAAGCATGGCATGCAACGAGGCCTACAGATACAGTGAGCCTCGGCCAGCTTGTCTGAGTGGTGACCTCCTAACATCAGTGATGGCTGCCGGCCCACACAGGTCAGGTGGGCTCTGAGATACAACGTGAAAAAATCTCACCTGACACATTCCAATGGAGCAAGCCCTGAATTATTCCCTTTCTGGCTACCTTAAGATGGATGGAAAAGGTGAGAACAGAGTTTTCAGTGAATTTTTGTTTTAATCATGAAACTACTGGGGAACAGAATTCTAAAGCATTATTTTTCTAATGCACTTTTTTACTAAAAATTGGATAATAAAGCTCTCATGTACAATCATTAACCTGATAGAGTCTAAACCCATTCAAACGGTAATACCTGACTTCTCAACTTTTAATAAAATTTCTGCTTTTCGTGCCAAAAGTCAACACCAGCAATATTTTAGTATCTGGTACATACTTGCTATAAATATTTATGAAACCCAATTCACTAAGCTTGCTTAAGAGCAAAAAGAAGAGTCATACAGTTAGAGAACCACCACTAATAAAACAATCGACAAAGACAGATGCCCGTTTCCAGATGATCTTCAGCTCTAGAAGCTGAGCTAAAAGGAAAATGGTTCCCATCTTGGTCGAAAATTGAGCCAAGGCCTGGGAGGCCTGGGTGGTTCAGAAGGTGGGGCTATGGGTATGAGGTCACCCCCAGTGATCCCTGGCTTTTCAAGCCGAACTCACCAGCCTGGGGCAAACCTGGCTCCTTCCTCCTCTCAGCCCAGACGCTCTGCCCGCCTCTTCCACCAAACACAATTTTTAAGTGACTCTTTATACTCAACCCAAAGAGGGCAGGTAGGCAGC